CAAAAATCTGGAATTCAGATTAGCTATGAATAGCAACTTTCTCTGGGTTAAACGATTTTAGGTTTTTTTCTATTTTTTTTTTAATAGAACATATTCTAAGACTATAATGTTAGTATTCTCCAATGGCTATCATTTAGCCTCATATTTCCCTTGAGCAGCAGGAAAACTGAAAACTGACCATTAAAGGTTAGAAAAAACAATCATTGCAGCTTACATCTCCGTATCTTTATGGAGATTAAATAAATATTTTAAAATGAACCAAGCTTTATTTAAAGCGTATGGAATTGTATTAGCTTACAAAAACTGAATATTTATTATAAAGCATCTTCATTTTGATAAAATATCAGTATTTGATTCTGCATAAGCACACTGTTGCTTCAGATCTTAAAATGAAGTTTATAAGGATATTAAAAATTGAATTATCATATAATCCCGCAATTTCACTTCCAGGTATATACCCCAAAGAAATGAAAGCAGGCACTCAGAAAGATGTTTGCACACCTATGTTTAGAGTAACGTTATTCATAATAGCCAAGAGGTAGAAGCAGCCCAAGTGTCCCATCAATGGATGAATAGATAAAAAATGTAGTGCATACATACAGTGAAATATTATAGAAAATCCTGTCATATGTTACAATATGAACAAACCTTTAGGACATTATGCTAAGTGAAATGATCCAGTCACAAAAGGACAAATACCATTATGATTCCACTTACATGAGTTATCTAATGTAGTCTAATTCATAGAGACAGAAAGTAGAATAAGGTTGCCAGAGGCTGGGCGGAGCGGGGTCTGGGAAAGTTTTGTTTAATTGGTACTGAGTTTCAGTTTTGGAAAATGAAAAGGGTTTTGGAGATGGATGGTGGTGATGGCAGCACTTGGTGTGAAGGAATTTAATGCCACTGAACTGCACACCTAACAATGGTTAAAATGGTGAATTTCATGTCATGTATATTTTACCACAATGCTTCAGAATTGTTTTAAATGAAGTTTATACAAATATAGTAAAAATTACTGATGAAATAACTTAAGAATAGCAGAGCGGTTAGCCTTATATTTTCTATCACCGTATTGGCTATTTCTTTTACTAAACTTTCATGTAGTGTCCAAAACACCACAGACGTTATACATATTAACTTATTTGATTCTCATAATAACCCTGGAAGTAGGTGCCATGATTCCTCGTTTCATAAAAGAGAATCCAAACAAGAAAACCAACCAATTCGATTTCATTCGATTGGCCAAAATTTATATTCGCTAAATAGAGTTATCAAAATATTATTGACGTTTGCTTGAGTTTTGTTGAATTTCTCATGTTGATAAAGCTGAGTTAGAACTGTTTTTTTTCCCTCTTGTAAGGAGGGTAGACAGAACTCAGCCAGTAAACATTACATGAACATAATGTATTCATTTTTAAAAATCAGTTTTTTGATGGTTTCACAAAAAGCCCTCTCAAAACCTTGGTGTGATTAAGTGCTTTTTTATAAAGCAGGTGATAATGTTTATTGTCATGTGTGTAACACATATATATAATAGAATATATATTATTATTATTGTTATTCTTTATACCTAGAAAAAAAACAATGTTAGAAGCCACTTTGAATAGGCAGCACATCAACTCTGAACAACTTCAGCATTAAATTTTTATTTTCCAGAATGTACTGTGCCTCGTTGTTGTCACGGTCAGTCTATCAGTGGACACTAACTGCTAACAAGGCTTTACTATGCTCATGCCGTGTTCACTGAACCTAAAGGCACCTTTTCAGCTTCAGATCTTGATAAGAGCTTCATAAATAATTGCTTTAATCATCACATTACGTGGCATTGCTCTAAATTGTACACTCTCAGATACTCCCACTGGTGTCTAGTTAGACATTATTTCCACTCGCAGGTGTCAAAATAAGGCGAGTAGAAAGGAAAATGGCCCACCCGACCTGCCCACAAGGAGGAAGGGAGTGGAAGCTGTGGGCAGCTCTCCAGGCAAGTGCAGGAAGACGCTGGCGGTCATGAGTTCATACGGAGAGAGTGAGTGTCTCTCCCACAAAAGGAGCTTCAAGGACTTAAGGGAAACAATCCAGCAAAGTCCCAGGTGCCCTTTATGAGCCGTAACTAGCTCTGGGAACCCAAACTCAAAAGCCTACATGTGGGTACAAAGGTTCCAGTCCCAAAAGGAAACGAATAACATACGAATGACCTGGCTAATTGCCAAAACTATCTCAGTGAGATGTTCTATCCTTATAGTCCAGCGGCAGAGAAAGCTTAACGAGGAAAATGGAATTATATACAAGTTTCATGGGTAAAAACGGTTTCACACTCAACTTGCGGCAAGTACCACCTCTAAGCAGGATGGATGTTCCAGAGAGATACAGCAAACCCTTGGGTGTTTTCGTTTTTATTTTTGGTAACGTAGAATTTGTGTCTGGCTTTGACAAAAGGGCCAGGCGAGTCTAATGTGGCTTCTTTGTTTACAGACTGTGGGTTGAACGTGCACAAACAGTGTTCCAAGCACGTCCCGAATGACTGCCAGCCTGATCTCAAGAGGATCAAAAAGGTTTACTGCTGTGACCTCACAACGCTCGTGAAGGCACACAACACCCAGAGGCCCATGGTGGTGGACATCTGCATCCGGGAAATCGAAGCAAGAGGTTGGGAAAAGACTCCTTATTGTAGCGATTTAATTTTGCTATTTATTTCTACAATTGTCAAGAAAACTTTCTTATAATTGTTGAACTGACTCTCTCTCCACTCTTGTTGAACTGAATCTTCTCTCTCTTTACACACAAACTAAATCAATGTCTGTTTCCTACATAAATCATTCGTGCCTGAAATGCATTCGCATATGCATTCAATACATCTTGGCTAAGCATTTACTATGTGCTATACATCGAGGATATAAAAGTCACAGTTCTCGCCTTCAAGAAATTCATACTGTAGTATGCAGAATGACGGGGCCAGATAAATAAATGTTGTGGGTGTGTATATTCAAAGCACCATGAAGTCACAGAGGAATACATTTTAATTTTATTTGAGGAGCAATTCAGAAAGAGTTTATGGGAGAGAGGAGGTTTGAGTCTTAGAAAGTACTCCTATTCAATAAGTAAAAAAAATTGTTGATCAGCACCTACATTTTCTACCATACAGAAGTTTACTCCTGGTGCTGGTTCTGTTTATTTCAAAGAGAAGAGTTAAAAGATTAAAAAATCACTATGCCTTGAATAGCCAAGGAGGCCAGGAGGGCAGAAACATTTCAAAGAAAAGATTCTTTATATTATGCGTGAGTCATCTTTCCTCTCGTTGTGCTTTGTTTGGCCACTCTTCAGCATTTCAGCATCAAAATGTTCAGTGATATGGTGGATGGAGTCTGGTTGGGGAGAACGTGGATTGCTGGATAGAACTTAAATAATTGGGCCATGTAAAAATCTCCAGGGCTTTAACCATTTTCGCCATGTATGTCCTCTGCTACAGTTGATATCCATTATTGTGTCCAAAATAGGTTACTATGTTCTGTGGGTATTTGCAAACTGGCCAACTATCCCATTCTTTCCAATTATCCCAAACCTTTTAGAGACAAGAAATGTAGAATGAAAACTATGGCTGTTCTGTCCCCTTAAGACTTGCTCATTTACTCTCCAGTTGTAAGAAATGCCTCCTGCCTTTTGATTGCTGTGGCTGTGGATGCTTTGGGCTCTGGTGAGGTGCTGATGCAGGGCGCTGAGCTGGGGAACAGTTGAGCAGGGGTGCCCCGACTCCGGATGAGTGGCTGGGAAAAGTAACCCTGGGTCCTGCTGGTTAGAAGGCTCTGTGATTTGGAGTCAGATCAGCAGCCTCTCCAGAGCCTGCAGTCAGGACTGTGCTTTTCTGGAGAAGCTGTCGCCATCCCACAGTAATCCTCATCAGAGATGACTGATAACCCGGGCAAAGTTACCACCCTTTCTTATGTCTGCCGTGTCCATGATGAGCACAGCACTAAGCACGCCTAGGACGAGAGCTAGAGTGGCACAAGTTAGGAATTTCTGCCAAGGCATCACAGCAGAGGGGTTGGAGCTACAGGCACTAGGGGCCTGCACCTGTGGGCAGAACCAGAGAATGGGCTGGAGGAAATTCACGTGACTCTTCCATTCCCAGCTTCGTGGCCACCGCTGCCAACATCGTACCACCTCTTCCATCCACAGCAAAGGCCCTATTGTTGTCCAAATGCTCATTTATGGCCATTCGTTTCTGCATGATGTGGCAGAATGAAAAGATCATGGACTCAAAGTTAGATTTCCAGCCCCGTCTCGTACGAGCGATAGTATGAGCTTGAGCAAGTCACTTACTCCGTTTAAATATCTGTTTTATCATCTATAAAGTAAATGGAAACAGTTGTACGATATCAGGTGGTCGTGAGGGTTAAAATGAGTTGATCCATATTAATGACCTAGTACAGGGCCCAACAAGTAAGACTCGACCTGTGTTACTTATTTTTGCCTTTTCTCAGAATGACCAACAACCCAAATCCACCTCCACCTCCAAATCCGTCTGTCTGACCAACTTATTTAACCCGTATGTTTCAATGCTGTCACAGTGACCCCCAACAATAGTGTCTTCACCAGGATACAGATCTGTCCCTCGCAAGCAGCACCCCAGGGCAGGCTCCTCTGGTGGCCAGCCCCATCTCATCTGCCTGCCAGCCAAGGGCGAAAGGGCCTGCTCTTCCTCTTCACGTCTACACCCCAGGCGCCATACACCTCACCTCTGCTCTCTTCACGTTGCCAGAATTTAATGGCCATTGCAGTGGATGTTGTTCTAAAACTCAAAGTTTCCATTAAAACAGAGGGATGGGAGGACTAATATTGCAGGGAGAGCTGGCAGCCTCTGCTGCACCAGCAAACTCCAGCCCGTCCTTCGTGACGTCTGTCAAAGGCAGCTCGCGAGTAAGACCTCCCCCTCGGCCTCTCTGTCCGCAGACACGGTTCGTGCTCCCTGTGTCGTGCTCCCATGTGCCACTGTGTCCTCACCTCTGTCTCAGTGCTAGGGACAGCCGTGCTGGGCATGCTTCCGTGCATCACCGACCGGAACAGGGTGACAGCTGGTCTCATCTTCTGAACCAACTCAATTAAATGATCAGTAGTGGCAACCTGCACAACTGTATCGAGGTGGATTCTGAGGCTGAGTGGGGCTCAGTGGGAGAAGAAGCTAAGATCAACTAAGAGTGTCTCTGGTGGTCCCAGGAGAGAGGAGGAGCAATACTTCTAGCAGGCGTTTTTTTATGTCTAATGCGGACCTAATGCAGACCGTTCTATATGGCAGACAGCACGCTCGATAAATGTTTGCCAGGTGAAAAACAGGAACGTATGTTAGCTCTCGAGAGTTTGCCAGAATATACCGCAGCAGCAGAAGCAGCTATTTGTTTGCTTATTTTTCGCTGTAGCTATAGTTTGGTAGCAACCAGTTTTTACATCAAAGGTCTGAAATCTGTTCCTCTGTTCCTTCTGATACCTTGGGGACCTGGCTAGGCCTTAGGACATATCTTAATCAGTCAGGAAGATTTAACAGAAACATATTTTTCGTAGCCTAAATATCCAATGATCAAGTTTCCAGAACCATGCATTAGAATTTTATTTTTCTACATCTGTTTGTACAATTACTTACTTGAAGTTATAACAACTAAATCAATATTTAAACATTTAACGTATTGTATTTATGATTGAACATAAAAGACTATAAAATTTGGATTGTTTCAACAAAATCAGGATAATATGGATCGCGCGTGTGTACGTGGATGTGTGTGTTCCTAGCACAGTGCCGCACGCAGCGTGACACATGGATTGAGATGATACTGGGGAGAAAGCGAGTTGCTGCCTAAAGCAGTGAAATCGCATCGAGTGGTCTGACGAATGAAGAAGCAGTTGATGAAACTCATAAACATAGGTTCGCTTTGCAAAACCAGGCAGGAAGAAGCCCAGGCTGCTGAGGGCCCCACTGCTGCACAAGCAAGTGAAGACAAACTTGAGGTGGACAAGTCCAAGTTCTGACATGACAGCGTGGGATATATAAGAGCTCGTTTTCTGATGGTACACAGTGTAGATCTGAAATGAGTCTTTTTTTTAGATATTTCAAGAAGCTAAAGTCTCTGTCTCTCTTTTTAACAGGATTAAAGTCAGAAGGCCTTTACAGAGTCTCTGGGTTCACCGAACACATCGAAGATGTCAAAATGGCATTTGACAGAGGTAGGCTCACGTTCTTGAAAGCCAGATGGCGCATCCTTAGCGCCCTCTCTTTTGGAACCAGATTTTATTCACAGTGGAACAAAGGTCTCAGGGCTACTGAGAGCTGTTCTGCAAGAGGCCAAGGAATAACAATTCACAAATCTCAGAGTTCCCTGCCTCTCCAGGGGAAGCGTTTCCTTAAAAGTTGTGGACAGTGACCACACGGGGAAGTGAGTTTAAAATGCCGCTTGAATGGGTAGCCAGCTTCTGGTGCCATTAAGGTTTTTGAGCTGGTTGCCCAGCATTTATGGTCAGCCCTCATGGCACCGGAGTACCTTTCTGCGTCCCCCGTCTTAGGGTCCTGTTGATTCTTCGCCTTCCCCCCAATCTCGAAATGAGAGAGCATAGGGAAGGGGTGGGGGAGCACCCCCACAGGGAAGTGGGGGATCCAGGGGACATACAGGAAGCGACTCCCTTTGTTCTTTATGACTGTGTCATGTGTTCTCTACTCTTGAGAATTTGTTAAAATTTCAGTTCGCCAGGGCCTACTCTTGCAATTCATTCAAAAAACTGGATGAACCCAAGAATCTGTATTTCTAATGAACGATTGAATTAATTCCGGTGCAGCCAATCAAGGGATGGAACCCGTGGCCTACTGGACAGAGCCTCTACTCAGTAGAATAGGAGACAAGGTCTCTGCTGATCTGTTCAGGGTCATGGCCATTTCCTCCTCCCTGTATACTTTACACCCCAGCGATGCTGCAATACAGCTTACTTGTCTGCACGAACCAGCCCCTAGGCTCACGTTGCTCTGTTCATCTAGAATGTGTTCCCATCTCTGCCTGGCAAACACTCTTTACTAATCGGGTATCAGCTCAAGTCTTTCCTCCTTCACGACCCCTCCCTGACCACCCCACACTGACTTAAGGGTTCTATTTCCTTGTCCTGTGTCCCCGCTCCGTGTCTCACGTGTCTCCAGAATAACAGTCTTCTTATTTCCTTGTAATTGTTGAGTTGCACATTTGGCCCCAGCCTCACTAGAGCTATTTGAAGGGAGTATGTTTTTCTTCTTTGATCCACTGGGGCTTAACATTGCTGTATACATTTCAATAAACGTTTATTAAATATGTAAATGGTATTATATGGCAACCTCTTACTGTTTTCTGTACATCAGCTTTTTTTAGCATCAGAACCAAATTTGCTGAGATACTTTTTTTCTTTTTCCAATTCCCTATATAAAAGAAAATGCTGATAGTACGTATACGATTGAAACTTTTTTATCTAAAACAATATTATAGTCTGTGACAGTTAAATTGGACTGATAGTTGCTTAATGGAAAAACAGAAAGTCAAAAATGTCTTGAGAATGATTATAAAAATGACAAGAAATACAACATTACCCATACACAAGAGAACGTTAAAGTTTCCCAAATTAAAATCCCAGGTATGAGGAGAGGAAGAACTAAACTTCAGTGAGCCACATAGAGACAATAGAAACCGAAGATATTCAACAATTATTTTGTATCTGTCATCTTGAAATCCAAGTCTGAAGAATACTGGTGGGACTATATAAGGGCTTCTTGGGGTTTTTTTGGTTTTTTTTGTTTGTTTTTTAATTAGGTCATTACTATATTCTATTATGAATCTTGTGTCCAGATTATGAATTTCTGTGCTAAATTTCTATTTAGCAAATTACCAGGGTCTGGGACCCAAAGAACGAGTTTTAAGTCTATTTCACTTTCCTTTTGGCTCCACTTCCCCTCAGACCCCAAATCACTCTCACCAAACTCCTTTGGTTAATTCCTGCATCTCATTGTTATTAGACTCCGAAGGGAGCATTCGCCGTTGGATTTTTTTTTTCCTTCTGGGCTTTAACTTGGTGAAATAAGATCCTCATTAGGAATTGGATCGTTGATTGTTTTTCAGATGGTGAAAAGGCAGATATATCTGCCAACATCTATCCAGACATAAACATCATCACTGGAGCCCTTAAACTGTATTTCAGAGACTTGCCCATTCCCGTCATCACCTACGATACCTACTCCAAATTTATAGAAGCAGCAAGTAAGTATTAAGAACTGAGTTTTTATTTGTACCAAATTTTGAAGTGCAGTGCTTTTGAATTCAAGACAATCAGAACTGTTTAAAGTATTGCATGGGCCTGTTGCTTTGCCAAGTGTGGGCACAATGGTACAGTTAATAGAAAACCAAGCATAGGGCACCAACTGAGTTGAACCAACACCAGACCAACTCTGCTGGGCTGAAGCTGGACGGCAAGCAGTTCCTTCTCTCCCCGTCCTTTCTTCCGTGCTGGGAACCAGCATAGTCAGGCCTACTCTGTTATATGTTGAAAGCAGGAACGTTCCTGAAGTAAAACATTAGATATCATTCTAATGAGGACTGTACAGATTAGCTACTGTCATCCGTTAGGCAGAATCCCATTGCTGATCGATTAAAGTCATACCCCAAGTTTTGCCCGTGGATGCTGTTCCAAATTAATAATAGGCTAAGAATATGCCGTGTCATGTCCTACGCTAGGCACTCTCTCCAGTGTCAGCTAGTTTTATCTTATCTACCCAATGAAGCAAATATTATAATCCCATTTTACAGCGGAGGAGAGCAAAGCATGGCAAGCTGAGCTCACAGGTCTAGGAATGGAACGTCAGCCTTGGTCTTCCATCAGCCCACAGTTGCTCATTCAGTGTCTGGCACCTGGGTCCACTGTCATCAGGAGAGAGGACCATAGTGGAGAAGGGACAAGGGGCCTGCATTCTCCCTAGGAACGCACTGAGGAAGGGCAGGTTCAGATGCTGTAATACATGACATAGATGTCAAACCCACTTTGAGGAAGTTTTATAAAACTCTATCATCTTTAAAGGCATGTGCGACTAAATACAGTAACGAGACAGACCATACACAGACAGGCAGGGATGGGTGCGAGATGCACTTTGCGGAAGAGCTGTGGCCCTGCCTCCTGGTGAGAGCATTCTTTCTTGGGTCCCGGTGGCCCTGAGCAGAGATAGTCCTAGCAGCAGTCCTAGCCTCAAGAGGGATCACAGGAGCGCTTTCTTTGGTTGGCTGCCAGAGACCCAAAAAGCAGAAGCACACATGCTTCCTCCCATTGTTAATGTGCCTAGTATCTACTTCCAAACCTGGACCAGACACCAGGGTTCACCATGCCAGCGCTTTGGTGGGAAGTGCCATGAATGCAGGCTGAGCTGGCTCATCTGCCAGGGCCCTTGCATCCTGAGGTGTATTCAGTTATGGAAGCCTGCCAGGGAAAGACTTATTAGACAACTTCAAGAGAATGCTGCCAAGTATGATCGTGGTTAAGTTAAAGCTTGTGATGGTGAGATTTCTGGCAAATCCGCCATTGAGAAGAGGGGCAAAGCACAGTTTGTGCATGTGCCATGAGCAAGCATCTACAGCCCCTGCCACCGACCTAGTAGAAGCTGGAGGCATGTGTGGTGCCCAGCCCCAGACCCTTTCTGGAACGAGGCAGGACACAACACAGTTGATTACTTTAGATCAAATGTTACCTAAAATCACCTGAGCTTCTTAGATTTCCCCTCCATCTGTAGCCAACTTCTGTTACTTCTCTGCAAACTTTCGTGCCACGAGGCTGCACTGATTATTCTTATTTGTAATCTTCGCAGAAATCTCCAATGCAGATGAGAGGCTGGAAGCAGTCCATGAAGTGCTGATGCTGCTGCCTCCTGCCCACTATGAGACCCTCCGATACCTGATGATTCACCTCAAGAAGTAAGCTCACGCCTCCTTGACACCTCCTCCGCAGACCCTATCTGCCCTGGCAGTTAATGCCTTTGGAAAAGCTCACAGCCTTCCTCCCCAACCCACTGAGTGGACAGACGCTCCTTCAAGGTGAACGAGGCCGCCTTCTCTAGGTCGGCCCCATCATAGCTACTGAACACTCTACGTACTTTACACATGCTAGCTCTATGAAGTGGGGTCTGTTAGGCCTCCCGTGTTCCCGATGAGGTTGCTGAAGCTTAGGGTGGTTAAATAATGGACGTGAAGAGGTGAAGGAAGCCAGGATAGAAACCCCAGGCAGTCTGATCCAGAGCCCACACTCTGTCTTAACCATTTGCCTACACGGCCTCCATAGCTGCCTCTTCCTCCATGACGAGCCCTGTGCTCTGTGTCCTGCTCTTCTGCCCTCTGCTCTCTCCAGTCCCAGACTCCTGAGCCCAGGCAAGCACATTCCCAACCCCGGGCCCTTGTTTTTCTTGGTGTATCAGTTAGCTATCATTGAATAACAAATTACCCCCAATCTGAGAGGCTTAAAACAGTAAGTGTGTATTTTCTTGCAGTCTCTCTGATCGGGAATCCAGGTGTGGCTCAGCAGGGTGCCTCTGGTTCACAGTCTGTAATGAGGGTGCCGTCAGACTGATAGCCAGGCCGCAATCTCATCTGAAGGCTGGACTGGGGCGGCGTCCGCTTTGAAGCCCACTCATGTGGTTGCTGGCAGGATTCAGTTCCTCAGAGGCTGTTGAACGGGAGGCCTCTCTTTCTTGCTGACTGTTCTCTGAAGGCCACCCTCAGTTTCCTGCCATGCGGGTCTCCCCACAGTCAGCTCACAGAGTGGCAGGTGGCTCCTCTGGGAGCAAGCAAGCATGAGCACCCAAGATGAAAGGCACGGTCTTTCTGTAACCTAATCTCAGAGGTGACATCTCATTGCTTTTGCTATATTCTGCTTATTAGAAACAAGTCACCAGGCCCAACCCACACTCTAAAGGAAGGGATTACATAAGGGCACGAATTCCAGGAGGCAGGGATCACTGGTGGCCATCTCAGAGGCTGCCTGCCACAGAAGGCCACATGGCTATCTGTGAGGACACATGAGACAGATGGATGTTTGAGTGTTACAGGCGACTAGCACCTCTGGTTCCAGACTCCTCCACTAAATCGCGGCTCTCTGCCCTTCACCGTACACGTGTAATGAGGGCAATGAGTTGGTCTCTGGGACGTCGGAGGGAGTGGGGCACTTCTGTGTGCCTTCCTCTGTGCTTTCAGGAGAGACATGGCAGCAGCCCATTCTTAGATAAAATCAACCGAAACTCATCTCTATTGACCAATTTTCAGATCCATTCAGTAAGTGAAAGGAAGCAAGTTGAGACTAAGGTATAAACATCAGAGGTTGAGGGTTTTTTTCTCCTTTATAAAGCAGTTAAGACTGTTGCTCGTATTCAGGTTGATCAGAGATGCAACATTTAGCTCAGAAGTTTTCCATTTTGATCAGTTTCTTAAATTTAAGAGTACAGATAAGTTTTCGATAAGGAATAGATTGCGAATGTCAGCCGGGCTTCTAATTAGCTATAAATTATTTCTTTCAGTGTCCAATTATTGTAGTTTGGAAGGCAAAGTATTATTATCAGAAAAATGCTGACATGTCCCAGTTGAATCTTAAATGCCAACAACTTAGTGTTTTTATTGTAGAGGGTTTGCTAGCCATCTTGTTTGGCCAGGCATGGTACCTGACTTAATGAAGAGATGTGAACAATTTTAGTGAAGAATGTCCTCTTTCCTACCTCTTTCTTAGCTTTGCAACATGAAAATAACGCAGGCCAAATTGCCCTTCCTAAAATAATGTCAAATGGCTCATCTTAATTAGCTCCGAGAGAATAAACACAACGGAATGGCCTTGCATGCAAAACCTAACCATGTTTCATCATATTTCTCTCTTCTTTGAAAAACCTACCCCTTTTAGATCTATCATAAACATCCTAAAACCTAAATTTCCTAAAGCAAAGCAAGAATCTGGAGGATTGTCATTTTATTCCACTAGAAGGTATTAAGCCAACTTTGGAGTCTGAGTTTCATTCTTAAAGGCTTTGTAGTTCTTATCTGGATGTTGAAATGAGGATTTTCAATTCCAACAGCAATTACTGCTCCAGACCTCATCCTGTGGGAACTAGAAATAATGTCCCACTGCTTTCCTGTTTGGCCACATTCCAGCCATCCCCCCGTCCCACGATAATGGCCTAGCTGTCCCTAAACTCATGACACCCCCATCCTACAAGCAACCGTGCCTTTTCTGTTCGCCAGCACACAGGGAATCTGCCTTCAGGTTTCCTACAGAGGGGAAGAAAGACTTCCATACCAGCCTAGACGAAGATCTGCGTGCGCCGTGTGCCAGCTGGTAATCTGCCCTTCAAAGCAATATTCCATAAACGACAGTTTCACGTTTATTTAGTAAGAAGGACTGATTTTCTAATTTTGAGGATCGTGTCAATACCAGATTCACTTAGTAATAGGCTTCCTCTGGCTGAAGACAATGCCAACAATCTAAAAAGGAAAATATCAAAAAATTATCCTTTTAAAAATACTTTTCTGTAATTCTGATTCTCGATTTCCTTTTGCAGTTTCCCAGGTTCATGAGGGCATATGCGTGTCATCAGGATATAAATTTGTCCACAAGTTGAAACCACCTTTCTGTGTATATATTTGTTTTGCAGGGTGACTATGAATGAAAAGGACAATTTTATGAATGCTGAAAATCTGGGGATTGTGTTTGGGCCCACCCTGATGAGACCCCCTGAGGACAGCACACTCACCACTCTCCACGACATGCGGTACCAAAAGCTGATTGTGCAGATTTTAATCGAAAATGAAGATGTTTTGTTTTAATCCACCAGGGAAATGAGCAGAATGGCCTCCGCCCCGTCGAAGTTGACAAGGCTAAGGACATAAAAACATTTCTTACACTGATTTGTTTCCCAAACAAGTGACAGAGTTCCTACACCGCAGTGGATGGCCAAGTCAGCTACTATGTCTCATAGATACTGGCCTCCTCCACGTGAGAACAGCAAGAGTAAGAGTGAGAAACGCCCCTCTCCTGGGCTCTTTGCCGTGCCTCGTGTGTATGTCTGTTTTGCTGGAAGAGTGATTAAATAAATCTTTAACTTATTAAGAGAACAATGTAGACCTTTAAACTTCAATCTCAGTAATAAAGAGGAACTTAATTCATAGAGGTACTTGATACAGTTATACATTTTCCACTTACAAAAAGAAGACAATTCTATATGTTAAATGTTAAATAAAACTTATATTGTAAAACGTATTTTTATTTCAGCTGCAAGAATGTTACTTTATTTTAGCAAATAGAACTCAATGCAGTGCATTGATTATTACCCTGTGTACCTTGTCCTGCCTTCTTGCTGTGATCCCTGGAGAAGTTTACCACGAATGCAGTATTATGTTGACATACCTCTGTCCTTATCGGCGCTTTGCAACGAAATTTCACCTGCCACCTGTGTCCCTGTTTTTGATAGTTTTTGCTGTTAAGCGCTGGCATTTTGCTATCATGAGGTGTATGTTTATAGCAGTTGTAGGTTGGTCCAAAACACCCACGAGTTTTCTTTCCATAAAAATTTTATAGAATTCCAAAGTATGTTTTAGAATTGGTCATAGTTTTTCCATATCATGTGTGTATATCCCAGAACATGTTGAATGTGGTCACTTTACCTAAAATAATTGAATTTACATAAAATATAACCTGGATTGTTTCTGGGCTGTATAGAAAGTCAGAATTTTTTTTCTCATTTCTTTTAAGCAAGTAGTCTAAATTCATATCTTAAGGCCAATTTGTAGCTTTGCCACATTTCTGTATTTACGACGAGTGAATCTGCAGAATAATTGTTGATTTTTTTTCATTTTTGTTTTATAAACAAGCCTACTTTTAAAGTAAGAATGAATAAGTTTGGTTTTTATGAATATTTGTTCCTCTTTGACAAAAGTAGCTCTGTATAGATAAGAATTGAATATGATTTTCTTACTATAGTTCCATCTGATTGGTTATATTTATCTTAGAATGAGCTTTTCACACCCAAGATTTCTATATTTTGTAACATAGGTAAAGATATTTTAAAAATCCAGGTAAATCTGGATTTTTTTTTCCCTTCAGTCCAACTACGGTGTGTTTTCCTCTGGTGGTCTGAGATGGTTCGTGTAATTACTCACTCGTCTTGTTTTGGAGTGACCAGAAGAGAATTACTGTGACAAGTGAGCTGAAAGGAGGTGGCAGTGCAATTGTCCTGGAAGGTCCCAAGGGCTGTGCGGACGGACGCCACTGGGACATGGGGGTTAAAACGCTCCTGCTTGGTCCCAGCTATTACTGTCCCTCCTCCTGACTGTACAGATTTGTTTGTTGTAGCTCATGTACTTCTTGATACTGTCAAAAAAATATCTGGAAATGGTTTTATTTTGTAAAGTGAACGATACTTTGTAATTTATGATAGTGTAAATGGAAGGAAAAGCATTAAATGTATTAAATTCTTCTGTCTATCACTTCGGAGTATACGAAGGAAATTGGTGTTGGGGAGATGTGAGGGATAAGGGTGGAGAGAATATTGAAGAGGTCACTCCCGGATGGATTTTGGCAATAAAGTTTCTGTCATCACCAAACTATGATGAGCAAACAGACATACCACTGGGTCCCTCCTCGCTGGCCCACGCCCTCTGCCGGCTTTCGCCTGAAGAGCCTACTCAAGATTGAGATTCTAATGCTCCACCTGCACTTTCTAGAAGACTTATTGCATTTATGTGATTCGCTGAGAGATGTGACATTTAGACCACATCACCCTAGGACTCTTGCAGGAGAGCAGAGCAAAAGTGTCGAAGTCAGAAAAACACACATTTGAATCCTAGATCCGCCTGTGTTCAGCCGCACATGAACTTGGGAATGAATTTCCTCCTCTGAGAAACTGGGGACAATATTCCGATTGTGAGATCTTAGATAAAATGACGATCTTAAGTAGTTAGTAATAGTTATTTCTCATTGTTACCATTACTTTAAGAGCGATGACTTAGAAGAAGAAGGGGTATAACATGGTGGCTGGGGAAAGGAAGAAGCGTGGGACAGGAAGGATGTGTCACAGGTTAAATCCAAGCCCAGGTGATTTTAAGGGGTATGATAACAGGGCTCTCGGATGTGTAATGAGGTTCACTTGACTCCTTTTCTTGGACACGATTGCAACACTTGATCCCCTCGAGCTCGCTTTCGTCTGGAGCCTGCTCCCCCATGCCTATCGCCCCCACCATCTGGCAGCCTGCCATGGCTCCCCTTACCCAGCTTGACATTCCTTATTTATTGCAATATCTCTAGTTGGTAGACCTGAAGGGATGCAGCGTTGTTTCCAGAACCCCATATTAAATTGTCCACAAGTGGGTTGTAGGAGGTGGGCCAGGGGCAGGGGAAATGGGGGAGGACCCTTTTCCTTCCCCCATTAACATAAATGGGCATCTGGTTTCCACAGCGCGGAGGGAGCCCGGCCCGGTGCAGAATTTCCGGGGCAGCAGCCTGGCCGCAGAGGGAGGGCGGTGAGGACAGCACAGTGAGTACGTACCACACGACCGGAGAGTTGCCAGGGCTGCCCTGGCTGCTACTGAAAACCCAACTCGGTTAGCTTACCGCTTCCCAAGTCCTATCCACCCCCAAATTTATCATCTTTAAAAATGTAATGTTTATTTCTATCAGGCGCTTATTAACGGGCCAGACATTGAGAATACTTGGAAGCAAGGAAGAGGCTTATCTCACTGAAAGAATTAGTAAGTTTAGTCTGGCTAGAGAGACAAAGCTGGTCATGTTAAGGATTTTGGACTCTAACGTAAGAGAAAGGGGTGCTACTAATGTTTTTTCTAATAAGCTTAATTTTGGAATATTTTTTATATTTACAGAAAAGTCCTAAAGATACCACAGAGAGGTCCTGTGTACTCCTTACCCGCTTTCCCTAAAGTTAACGTCTTACAAAACCACAGTACATCAAAAGTAAGAAGCCAACACTGGTATATTACTATTAACTAAACTCCAGACTTTATTCAGATTTCAGAGGTTTTGCACCGATGTCCTTTTTCTGTTCCATGATACAATCCAGAGTGCCACATATTTAGCATTAATGAGTTTTAATGGACAGATGACACAATCTAGTTTACACCTGTGAAAGATCACTCACATGGCTGTGGACCCACCGGCAACTATGTAGCTGATATGCAGAGAGCCAGTTAGACGTTCATCTTTGTCACATAGGACTGAGGTGATGTAGCCTCGATCAGGTGAGATAAATAGACAGGACTGAGTTAGGAGGTAACAGGACTGAGTTGCAAGGGTTGGATTAAAGAATCAAGGATGAGTCTCGGGTTGCTTAATTTGACGACCGGGTAATATTTACCGAAATGAAGACAAAAAGAGGAGTAGAGGTACCTGGGGAGGGGTGGAGGAGGCCGGGAAGGCGATGAGTTCCATTTTGGACATGATGAAACGGAGATGCCTGGGTAGTTTACGAGCAGAGATGTTTCGTGAGCAATTATATTAACAGACCCAGGCTGGAGATGTGATTTGGGAATGACCCCAGAAGTAACAACTGGTACCACAGGGCTGCATAGGACATGGAACCTGTACCCAGGGACGAAGAACAGAGAAATACAGGAGAGGCCTAATTCAGAGTTCCCTGGAACGCCATCATGCAGGAGGCGGGAAGAGAGGGCAAGTGAGGTCCATTTAATGTAATAAAATATGGAGGGTCCCAAGAGTGCAGTTCAGAAGGATTCTTTCCCCTGTTTTCGTGTCTGTTTCACAATGTCCTATGCATTTTTTTGTTCCACTTAGAATTATTTTGCTACACGCAAGGCACCATGTTAGACCCTGCGCTTCAGAGGTGGGCTCAGTTAGATGACTTGTAAACGCGAATGAGCCAGTGTCATTTTTTTTTTTTTTTCTAAATTGAGTTGAAAAGACGTTA